TTTTTTTTTTTGTAGTAATAACTTACGATGAATTGGATCAAGTTGAAAGGAAAATGAAAAGTATAGCAAAAGAAAGTGAAATAAAAGCATAATACCAGGATTGTTGTTCAGCTTTAGTTTTATTCTGCTGAAAAAAATTAATTTTATAAAAAGAGCTAAATAAACTTACCCTAGACAAGTATTCTACTTAGCATTTTCATTTATTTTCAGTCAAAAGCAAAATAAGAACGATATCAAGGAAAAATGTCATATTTTCAAAAGTAGTACTCATTGGCTAGACTGATGAGCAAATTTCCGGAATTTGCAGAGGACGTAGGAGAACGATTCCAAGTAGCAAACAACTAATTTAAATTTCAATTTTTTTTTTTCATTCGATCTCTCATAGTGTTTAGAGGTTTAAAGAAAAGCAAAATTGATGGAAATTATACTTTTTCGAATTTCAAATTAAAAATTCCAATTCCAATATCAGTAGTAAATAAATTACATTATGATTGCATTTGCTAAAATGTTAATTGCATTATTAATTATCATTTAAAAAAATTATTATGTTTAAATATTAAATGGCAAGTTTCATTTATTTCTTGCAATTAAATTAAATTTTTTGGTATTTAGTTTTACTTCAAAAAATTAACAATTAAGAAGAAAAAAGCATTTTCATAAGCTGCACTGCGTGAGATCTATCAATTTATAGCGAATTTATAGTAAATATCAACATTAATAATTCCGAATTTACAATTTCATAAAAATATTTTAATGTTCTGGTTAAATTTACTTTTGCGCTTAAATAGAATCTTAGCTATTCCTTTATTGTTTGATGAATGCAACGGGTAGTTTTAATTCAGATTTGCATTATTACTATTTTAAATCCGTATCAAAAGTTGGCTTTTCATTTATATTTTCTATTAATGTTTGTAAAAATTAGTACATCGAAGTACTTAGTCATATAATTGTTTTCTTCAATATGCAAGCATCATTTTATTCAATAATTGATGTGAAAATTTTACACTAATATTTGACTGATATTTTGCTTCAATAGATGAATTAAAAAAAAAATGTTTACTAATTCAACAAAATATGAGCATAAAAATTTGAATAATCTTTGGGAAATAACTAAATGCAAAGATAATCCAAAATGTCTTGCAAAAATTTAGTTGCATATTGAAAATTTTTAAGATTCATATAGTATTATTAGTTTAGTTCTATAATGACAATAAAACTAAACTAAAATAACAGTCGTTCCAATAATAGTATTATTAGAATGGTTTACCCATGAATATTTCACAGCATGTCCAATAAGAAAAAGTTCCCAATTTTTAACTTCTTACTGAATTATGAAAAACCTGCTGTTTTCAGTTTTATAATATCTAAACCTTTAATTTTTTTAATGAAAATTTGTGAAATTAACTGCTAAACTCTGTGCATTTTTTCAAGACAAAGTAAATGAATTCTAGCATTTACTTGCAAATGGAAATAAATATTCATTCATCACAGCTTCATTTCCAATTATAGTCTTACCAAAATGTTACATTGCTTATTTCAGTATAACAAAACATTGCTCGCTTTATAATTACAAGCGACTGCTATTCTGATTCTCCAATTCCTACTCAGTTAAACTAATTTTTTACAATTTTAACTTAATTAAAATCTTATCAATACTTGTTGTAAACCTTGCCTTCCCACAAAGCTAAGAAGTATGCAGCTTTTCTCTCTTGCTTATTTGATCTGTTATCAATTACTTTTTTAATTGCCAGATTACTGTAAAATTCTGTTGCTTGGAAATTCGAAATTCCGAGCATCTCGCTTTGTGACAAATGTTAAAGTGAAAAAACAAACAAAGTTACAGAAAATTGTTAGCTTGCTTGCTAATTCATCTCATTTTAAACATTATTTTCGATCATGCTAGATGTAATTTCAAACGTATCAAAACTCCAGCATTTAATCTCAAAAGACAAACATTAAAAACAAAATATTATTTGCACTGATTATACTTGAAGTTTAGATTGATAAAGCATAAATAAATTAAATATTTAGAAAAATAGCAGATTTTAAAGATAGCATTTAACTGTTACATGTTAAGTAACACAAAGAAGCAATTAAAGATTAAAAGCACACTAAAATCGAAAATTTCTAACCTCTAAAATGATGGAATTTCAATCATTTTTTCCAAATAACGATTCTTGAATACTTTTAAAGTTGCATTTTTCTAATCACGACATTTCTATCCACAACCGCATACTTTGAATGAATATGATAAAATAGCTTGAAGGTCTCAGATCAAATTCGAAAAAAGAAAGAACATTTTCAGAAGGTTCTTTATAATAATATCACTCTTTCTCAATTATTTGGATCTCAAAATTAAAATTCAATACAATAGAAGTGATCTGCAAAATATAGTTGAAAGTAGAGACTTGTACAAGTGGATAAAAGTAATACTCAGAAGCTATTTTTGAGAATATAAGATGAAAATTTTAGTGTTCCATAAGGATAATGCTACTAAAAATAATTGAAGTAACATCTAAAGGTCATTATAAGGAAACATAACTTTCAGCGCGTCATATCTCTTAGATCAAATTTGGAAGTCAAAGTGTAGCTTCGAAAATGACAACTATGCAAACTTAACACAATTTAGTTATTATGAAAAACTCAGTTTGAGTGTGAATATTGACAATTACTGTTATGATACGTTTTTTCCAGTGCGCAGAGAAATATCAAATGAATAAATCTTTCAAAAAATTACTTCTATATAATATAAATTTATTTATTTTACATCAACGAAATCAGAAATATATTTGAAAAGTATGTTCAGCTTCCTTAATATGATATCTACTTTTCAGTAGTGTGATCTCTCAGTAACATAAAATATTTAACATGTAATAAGTCTTTAAGACTGGTTTTGGGATCATGGTTAGGAGATGACTTATTTTTTAATTGTATGCGAACCAACAACAATTATAATCAATTAGATCATTAAAAATTATTCGGATCAGTGAAAAGAAGAGTAAAAATAAAACTGATCAAAATTCTTACTATGAATCTAAATTGATCTTTTGTTACTAGTTTAGTCTATAATTGTATTTATAAACTTCGAATTCTGTAGCAATTCATTATTC